CCTTCCTAAGGGCTAGGGGCGCGTGTGCCCCCGAAACCCTAAACCCCAAATCCCAAGCCTTAAAATCTCTCGATGCGGGCTTAGGAAGTTCTCTAGGGCCCTAGGGCTTTGGGGCTGAGGGTTCCAGGTTCCTTTTTTCTTATTTCGGGATCCACTCCTCCGGGCAGGCTTTGGGGTCTCTGGCCCGGCTATTGAGGGTTTGGCGTAGAGGTTTCGGGGTTGAGGGGTTTAGGGTTTCGGGGTTTCGGAGTTTAGCCGGTCTCTAGTAGAGGTTTGTTCAGTAAGGGTCCCTTCGCAGGGCCCCTCTTGTCGGGTTGAGCATTTAGGGTTTAAACTTTAAAGCTTTGGACCTTAACTCAGCCTCAGACCCTAACCCCTAAACTCCAAACCCCTGAGCCCTAAACCCCTAAACCCCCAAACCCCCAAACCCCCAAACCCCTAAACCCCTAAACCCCAAACCCCTAACACTAAACCCTAAACCCTAAACCTAAACCCCTAAACCCCCAAACCCCCAAACCCCTAAACCCCCAAACCCCAAACCCCTAAACCCCTAAACCCCTAAACCCCTAAACCCCTAAACCCCTAAACCCCTAACCCCCTGAACCCCTAAACCCCTAAACCCCTACCGGGTCTTTCTTTAATACCCGGCGGATCAATCGCGATCCCTTCGGCGTACGAATTTGAATCCGCGTCCTAAACCCCTAAACCCCTAAACTCCTAACCCCGAAACCCCGAAACCCCTAAACCTCTAACCCCCTAAACCCCTCAAAGCGCACCTGACGTGTCAGGTGGACATCGGCGACTGCTTCTTGGAAACTCGGGGCAAAGAGAGGGTTTAGGGTGTAGGGTTTAGGGTTTAGGGTTTAGGGTTTAGGGGTTTAGGGTTTAGGGTTTAGGGTTTAGGGTTTAGGGTTTAGGGTTTAGGGTTTAGGGTTTGGGAGCTTAGGGTTCAGGGCCCCAGGCGCAGGCAATCACGACGAGATGCACAGCATCTATGAAAAGCCCGAGAGGGTCGAGTGACTTTTGTTTGGCGTGGAGGGTTTAGGTATTGTGGTTTCGGGATCACTTTGGTCCACTCAGAAGCCATGGCCCTTAGCTCCATCCCAAACACCCAAACTCCCGAACTCCCAAACCCCCAAACTCCCAAAACCCCCAAACTCCGCAAAGGGAGCAAAGGGAGGGTTTAGGGCTTGGGGCTTAGGAGCTCCCAACCACCCCCCCCCCTCTCCAACTGGGTTCCAGGCCAAACCTTTTGATCAAAGCCTCACTCAAACTACCTCGATACCACCAAGTGGGGATGGGCAGGGTGGGTTTAGGGTTTTGGGTTTTTGGGTTCTGGGGTTTAGGGGTCAGGGTTCAGGGTTTAGGGTAAGCCATAGCTAACTTTGCTTCCACGGTTTCGGGGTTCCCCTAAGCCCTAAGCCCTAAGCCCTAAGCCCTAAACCCTAAACCCTAAACCCCAAACCCTAAACCCCAAACCCTAAACCCCAAACCCTAAACCCTAAACCCCAAACCCCTTGAACTCTAAAGCATGCCGCCCAAGGAGTGCGACTGCTTCCTCTCAGCCACGGGCCGGGCCGGCAGTACCGACAACTTGGGCCTGGACTGGGTTTAGGGTTTAGGGTTTCGGGTTTAGGGTTTAGGGCTTCGGGTTTAGGGTTTAGGGTTTCGGGTTTCGGGGCTTAGGGCTTCGGGCATGGGTCCAGGATCTGGGTGTCAGGGTTCAAGGGTTTAGGGCTCTGGGGCATTTGGGGTTCTAGGGTTGGGGGTTGTGGGTCTAAGGGTTTTAGGCTTGGGTTGGGGTTCAGGGGCACGGTGTAGTTTAAGGGCTCAGTAATTTATGATTTAGATTGCAGCCTTCCCCAACCCGGAAACCTAAACACCTAAACCCCTCAAGCACCGACAGTCCCACGCTCTCCCACCCCCGGCCGCGAGGAGAATGTGGGCGTGAAGACTGGCCGGGGGAAGATGATCCAAGTTGACGAGTCCTTCAGCTGCCTGAAAATTTAAACTCTAGGGGTGTAGGGTTTAGGGTTTAGGTTCTAGGGTTTAGGGTTTAGGGCCTAAGCCCTAAACCCTATAGATCCTGAGCCTTGATAGCGCGGACCCTTCACTGAGGAACCAGTACACCGGCGTGGGCAAAATCTACGCTGTGGGCGACGTGGCTGGCGGGAACTTGGCGACGATCGGCCAGGCGCGACACCTTGGGGGCGTTCTGTTGCCCTGAGGCCCAACCCCTAGACTCTACACCCTGAACCCTACACTTGGGATCCCTAAACCCAAAAACCCTAAACCCTAAAACCCTAGACCCTAAATCCGAATAGGAAGAAGACAGGAGAGTTCAGGGTGCATGGTTGCGCATCCAGGTATGCTTGTTTTTGCCCTCACCCTCACGTTCGTCTCCCACCTCCTCCCCTTGACTATCTGTTTAGGGTTGGGGTATAGGGTTGAGGACGTTCAGGTATGGGGTTTAGAGTTTAGGGTTTAGGGTTCTACCGTA